CAGCTTGTCTGTATGCGTGACATTTGCGGGAATAAACAAATAAAGGCTCAAAGCAGGCAAATCAAGGCCTATTGGCCTAGAGAGCAGTCACAGGTGTCTGCTTGTGGTTAACAGCAGAATAGACAGGGTCATAGTCCTTAGAATCATTATGGGCAACATCAATGATGCATATTAACTGCCTGCACCACCACCACTGTCACCACATCGAAAATTAATTCAGTGTTCGGTGATTGTAGAGTTTGACGAGACTTTCCAGGTTGACAAGTTTCTATTCTGCACTGGCTTATGGTTTTATTTTTCTTTTCAGCACAGTGCCTGTAGTTACCCTTGAAAAACAATGTCACATTTCCCGGGGAAGGTGAAACATTTGAAATAACAGTAAATTTAGAGCACACTGGAAAAAAGACTTGGCCAGACTCCACTGAAACAAACTTAAAAACCAAAGCTCCTCTTTTCCAGTAAGTGGAGCCATTTTGGAAGTAAATACATTCGTTTGGGAAGCTTGAGTTCCTTACAATTAACATTTGGTACAGCACTGCCAAGCGTGTACACGTGGAACCATCTTTATGAGATCACATAAGAGTGATGAAACTAAAGACAGTTTGGTTGCTCTTCACTTTGATACAATTCTTTCCTTAAGATTGCAAGTTTAAGACTTGATTAAGGTTCTGGGAAGTCTAACTAAAGTTAGGTTAGGAGGACAGTGGTTTGAATGGTTTGAATTAGTGTAAGACCAAAGAAAATGAAAATTAATCCTCTGAAAGGATGGAAACAATACTGAGCGTGTGAGGAAAGAGTGTGGGAGCAGTAAATTCAGGCTTCCGGAGAGAAAAACACGCATTAGAAGCTTACATAAACAGTTACAAAATGAGTCACAATGACCATTCATTTTTAATGGCAGGGACACCGACTAAATGCCATGAAAACAGAACAGAGCTGCTCAGGGACCAGTCTCAACAGCATCACCACACTGATGACGCTGTGGGACCAAGCAGAACGGTGGATAGCTGGGTCTTATCACTGTGAACAGTCTCAATTGAGCTTTTCTGAGGTCCAGCCTATGTTTCATCATTTTTTTGTATTTCCTTTTTCACTGTGTGACAAAGTGGGTGAGAGTACCACTTGTCTACATTCTTAGTTAACATTCTTGTTTTGATTTAACCATATTTCACATGTGATCTGCAATAGGCAAACGTCTACTATCTCGGGTTTATGTTTTGTACTTTTACAGATTATATAGTACAACAGCTTGGTTTAAATCAACTCCTACAAGTTTGTTAAATTAACATGTTCTTTATTTCAACTGTTAATTTGTATTGTTTAGAACTTACCTTACCTACCTGTCTTCCAGAAACAAAAGGAGGAAATGTAGTTTTACTTCCTGCTTTATAGCTTCTGGGTTCATCTTGAATGAATGTGAGAGTGAATGAATAGTGGTATTGTAAAGTGCTTTGGGTGCCTTGAAAAGCGGTATATAAATCCAATCCATTATTATTATCTGAGGTCACAGGAAGAGACCAAGTGCGGGAGGGGAAGAACTCTTGTAATTTAATAAAGTTGATTTTAGAGGGTTTATGAAGAAATAGACTTATTGTTGTAATACGTATTGATTACACCACAGAGTTTATGTTGCCAGTAAAGAGTAGCAGTAGAAGTTTGAATATAATTATGTTCATCTTACCTACCGAATGGAATAGTCCAGCGGAGAAATCTTAAGTGAACTATTTAAGCAGAAGAACTCAGGTGTTTGAGAAGAAAGGTTCAGGTCAGTGTAGCTGTGTGCAGTTTGACCTTAATTTCCATTGATTTAAGTTCAGTTATGTTTATTTGAACTGAGTTAATTATAGAGTTGAGTTTCCTATTTGTTTCTTTGTAAATATTGTTTGGGTCACAAAATGGTGAATAAATCACTTGCTACACTGGACAGCATCAGTCTCCTGCACTTCTTTGACCGCTTAATTCAAGTCTTACCACACACTGACACTGAAAAGAAATGATAAGTAAGTAAGTAAGTAAGTAAGTAAGTAAGTAAACTTTATTTATTAAGCGCTTTTCGCAGACAGGCAATCACAAAGCGCTGTACACAAATATTAAAATATTAAAATAAACAATAAAATCAATAGACATTATATACAATGTAAAAGATCAAATGTAAATAATGTAAAAAAAAAAAAGTAGACTAGTATACTAAGTAGATAAGCATAGTAAGGCATTTGTTCTGCTATGTGAAGTGGTTTAGAGTCAGGTGTATATTGAAATGTATTGCTATAGACAGAATTTGTAATCAGAACTCTTTACCTTACGCTCATTCACCACTTTCCACTACCCTTTCTCCTAATCAGAAGGTTCCAGGTTCAATCCCTGGCTTTTCAGTCTGAGAGCTATTCTTCAAAACCCCAAGTTGCCCCTGATGTATCCGCCATCTATGAATGTGTATGAATGGCAGTGTATGAATGTGTGTGAATCATAGGTTAAAAGGACTTAGGCATAGAAAAAGGTGCTTGTATTAATGGGTGACTGTGATAGTAATAAAATGCTTTGAGATTAGGAAAGTGCCAGTCCAATTACCACTTTAATGCCACAGTAACCAGTAGACATTAACATACGGTTAAACAAATATTCTCAATGACAGGCTACATTCATCATCTGCAGAGTTTACAAAGGTGGAATTTATGGCTGCGCAGTTATTTGGATTGAGTTACATGTTACACATGTACCAGTACTTCCTGATGCTCACCAAACAAGTTTGTTAAATTCCCTATATTGAACATTTGGACCAGTTTAGAGACTTTCTTAAATGACCTCTTTAGTTATTTTATTGCCTTCTTTCATAGTGGAACTCAGCCAGTTTTGTTTTACCACTTTAAATCTTAATAACCTTTAGAGTTCCTATTATGCAGTAACTGTAGTACTGTACTGTAATCAGCATGAAATGAGCACACTGCTTGAGCACTTTTATTCGTCTGGCATCACCTACATGAATTCTTCTTTTAATTTTGACTGATCAGTAGGACTATTCTCATTTTTACTTGTGTCGGATGGGGGACAGTTTCCTCACAGAATGCACCAGTGTAAACTAGTAGAAGGAAACAGCTGCATGCCTGTCTGTCTCTCCTGAACCTCAAGTGTTACTCAACCCTTACATCTGGCCTTTACTTTATAAAGATCAGCACTAATGTGTTCAATGAAATAACACATCATAAGCAACGGAAAATCTATTTCTCAATATTTCATAAAGAGGAAGACAATACTGAAGGCATCACCTAAATCCTCTGGAATTACACTTTCTAGGAATTTATCTTTCTAAAACACAACTGCAGGCATTTGTTTCCCTAATCTGCTGAATGGATGCTGCAAGAGTCGATCCATGCACTTGCGTGCACAATGCAATAATAACTCAGCATTATATTCTTTTTTTTTTCTTTTTTATTTTCTTTTTTCTTTCGCTTTCTTTTTTTTGTCCCCTGCTCTATTTGCTCTGGCATTAGAGCCCCTTGCGATTAAGATAAGAGCACATCCAAAAATACAAGGGCTCTTGGTCGGAGGGGTTGAAACTGTTATTAGTTTGTACGCAGATGATGTACTATTATACCTGCGTAATGCAGAAGACTCTGTACCATCCCTTCTTAATCTGGTCACCTCATTTGGCAAAATTTCAGGATATACAATTAACTGGGTTAAAAGTGAATTTATGCCTTTATCTAAAACCGGTTCACCGAGTTTTCTTTGTAACGTTCCATTCAAGATAGTTAACGACCATCTCACATACCTTGGATTAACTGTTCCTAAAGATCCCAAATTAATTTTTAGCTTGAACTTTGCTGAATTCTTGTCAACATTAAAGCATAACATCGAGTCATGGAAAATTCTTCCCCTATCTATGGTTGGTCGTATAAATTCCATAAAAATGGTCTCTCTTCCTAGATTTCTGTATCTTTGCCAAAATCTTCCTATTTATCTCACTTCCTCTTTCTTTAAGGAGTTGGACTCAATTATTACTTCTTACATATGGAACAACAAGAATCCTAGGATTTCAAAACTACATCTACAAAAATCCAAATTGGAGGGAGGTCTGAGTTTACCAATATTTAAACATCATTACTGGGCTGCAAATCTAAGAGCCTTGACCTTCTGGCAGCAGACATCCTCAGATCTTGGTGATTTGGTGTGGCCCCCCCACACCCTCTAGCAGATCATTACATGAAGGAACCTTTTAAAAAAAAAAAACAAGCGCGTCCATGCTCACAGGTGTACACACGGGTGATCACACCCACAAACTACACCCTTTTTGGCTCCTACCTCAAAGCACACTGTGTTCTGTTGATCTTATGTGCTGCACAATAATGTTTAATATTTAGTATTTACTGTCATATTCCCATATATCATTGTGATGTTGTTTATTCTATTACTCTTGTTCTCTTCTGCTTGTTTTCTTTTTTCTTTCTCAACAGGTGATCCAGGTGATCGATATATGCATTTTTTTTCCTGCCCATTCTGTTGGTTCTTGTTTTTTGCCCTTCTCCCCCGTCCCTCTTCTCAGCTGTTTCTCTTTCCCTCTTTCTTTCTCCCCCTTTCTCCCCCTCTTTCCTCCAGTCAAGTCTGTCCCGTATTCAGCAAAATAAAATAAACAATAAAAGGTGAATCAAATGGACCATTATGGCAAGGCTGGGATGGTCAATTTGGTAAAGTAAATCCGTTGGGCATCTTTCTTTGAGAAGCAGGGCCTCTAGAGAGGAGCCCCTTACAATGCCAGCCTCCATTTTAACCCAAAGGGGGATGTTGAAATTAGCATTATATTCTTGCTAAAATTTCATTAGTGTTAATTCAAAATCAGCTGCAGCATGCGATGTGTATTTGCATACTACAGTCATTAGTGCTGAGTGATGCAACATAACAGGTTTCAAGAAATGACCCACCAAAAGACGTCTCTACAAACAGACTATCCAAAGGTCAAAGCAGTGACATGAGTAAAAGGTTAAGAACAGCGTCCTACCACGTACCTCGACGATGTCAGAGTTGGTTCTGCTCTCGTGGGGTTCGTTGTATTCTGTGTACTTCAGCAGGACTTTGTCCATGTCGGTACTGGCGTACTGAAACAGCTTGTTGGAGCCATTGAAGATGATGAGGGCAATTTCACAGTCACACAGAACACTTAACTCGTAGGCCTTCTTCATCAGGCCAAACTTTCTCTTCATGAAAGTCACCTGGAAGAACAAAAGCCAGAGATCAGCCTAGAATAGCTAACCTACAACAGGTCAAATAAAGGGTCATACCTGTTGGTTCTTTCTAGATTTTCACAAGCAAGTCAGAGTATTTATAAAATTAAGGCTACACGGCATCCAAAAATATTTTTGAATGTGTTCTGTCTGAAGTAATAAATCACCGTTTGCTTTGTACTCTGTGCTGTGTATTAAAAATGTTATAAATCTTTCAAAAAAAAAAAAAACCAAACCTGTTTACAGTAACAATTAAATGTTTTTGTCTTCATAACCCAATAATATTAAAAAAATGTCTTTTAAAGCAGTGAAGTCTAAATAGTCCATCTAATGGCTTCTGAACAGGTAATCCGCAGTGCTTTGCCCCGTGGCCTCTGATGTGAATGTATGGTGCAATGATAGCAATAGTAATACAAATCTGCACTAACATAAATGTTTCATTTTAGGTGTTTAAACAACTCTTCCAAAACAAGCGATACATTTGTCAGCTCATCCTACCGCCGTGTTCACTGGCTGATAGTTTTCAGAGAAAAGAGAAGAGAATTAAAATGTGTGTGTAAGTGTCAAACAGGAAGAGACAAGGGGTGGGGGATCTCTAGTTCTCTAGTTCTGCACTTCTGAAAGAACGCAGTAATAATCTGGAAATACTAATTCAGTAACACTGCAGTTTCTAGTGGAATGTTACTGAATGAGTGGAGTGGATGGGAAAGGTAGGTGGGGAAAGAAACTATGTAATGTTTCACCTCCCTTAATGATTACCATCAAGGTGTTCAACTTTATTAGTAAGACAGAGGGCTGTGCATAAACAGAAATACAGTCAAACCCCCCCTTTAAGCTCATACTGTAGTGTTATATTGCACTATGGCTTATAAAGCAGAACAGTCATTCTTGACACCTCCATATTCCTCCAGACCATAAAGCTAAAACATATTGTTTGGAGTGGACCATTTACAGCTCAGTGTAAACCCACAGGTCACACATGGATCATGCTCTTATCCCTTTTTTGGTGTGTAGCTCACTCCCTGCAATGAATCATCTGTATTTATCTGGGTATGTCTTACTTCTGTCATAGCTTCTGGGATCCTGACTCATATCTTTTCAGTTCCAGAAGCTTCTGCAGACTCACATCTCAAAGCTTTCTGGCAATGTTGAGTGTCAGGTGTATTTCTTTTTACATGGTTATTTCTGTAGTTCAGTTCTTTACACTTTCCTTTACACTTGTTGTTCTGAGCACTTTTACAGATCTTACCATACCGCTGTCATGACACTCAAGCATCATTATGGCCAAGAATGATAACAGGAAGCGTCTTGATTATTACCTCTGTAAAATATAATTGGGACTAGAGACAGATTTACAACTTTCAAAACAGCCCAGTTGTACGAAACTGTATACCGACACAGGACACATTATTATTAGAGCTAAATCTAAACTATTGACAGTCAAATAACAAACATCTTTTTCTCTATTTTTAGCTTTTAGTTGCTTTTCTGCCAAACGATTTATTTAATTGATGGGAATTCTAAATAATACCACTTGAGTGATGGCTTAGTGGTGTTTCAAGAAACTGTGTGCACAGTACCTGTTTAGTAGAAAACATCCACTTCTCTGACAGTCTTTTTTACTTTTCCTGTTTTATGCATTCCCGAAGTGAGGAAACCATTTTATATCCTGGTATTATATACAGTATGTCATTGCTTTACATGCTACAGTTATAAAGCAGAAATAACACAGACTAACTTTGATCTAACTGCAAGTCCTAAAAAATTCATATCTTTACTGTTACCAAAGTATTTAACTGTATTTGCAGTAAAATAATGTTATTTTCTTTCATTTATCGACAGCTGACATTGTAAAGCTAGTTTGACTATAGTCTACATGGTAAACCCTCAGATGGGTAAATATGTGGTCTCTGGTTTAAGCCTCATTTGAAGAATTTTACTCAATGCACTGTAGATTGACTTTTCTTTTTTATAGTATAGAACGCCAAATAGACATTGACCATAAACATTTTTATTTTCTTCCCATCCGGGCTGCTATAATGTAATGTGTGCCTAGTCGCAATATTTTGTATAGTAATTCTCACAGAATGTTACAGTAACAAGATTAAATGATAGTGGTGAACTGAATGACAGTCTTACAGTTTGGGAAATAAACACGTCCTGAATTCATAAGTGTGCTGATTTGTGAAGAAAAAACAACAACAAAAAAACACATGACATAAAAGTTATAAATTGATTAGCATGTCATTGAGTACAATAAGTATTTGATTCCCTTACAACACACTTAGTACTTGAGTACTTAGTACTTCGTAGAGACAACGTTGTTGGCAAGCACAGCGGTAAGATGTTTCTTGTTGGTCACCAGATCAGCACACATCTCAGCAGGGAATCTGGCCCACCCCTCTTCACAGAAACTCTATAAATTATTTTAGCTTTCTTGGCTCCTGTTTGGCAACTCATTGATGTACTTCTTCTTCAGCCACTCCTTTGTTGCCCTGGCAGTTATTTTGGATCATTGACAGGCTGAAAGGCCCATCCAGGACCGATTTTCAATGTTCAGGTTGAGGGAAGGAGGGGTTTTTTTTTATACATGGGTCTGTCCATTGGCCCCTCACTGCAGTGAAGCCATCCTGTACCCTTAGCAGAAAAACAGCCCCCAAACAGAACGTTTCCACTTCCATGCTTGATTGTGGGGATGATGTTCTTTGGGTTATACTCAGTGTTTCCACAAACACAGCAAATGAATGTTATGCAAAACTTTCATCTAACCACAGTTTTTTTCTCCCAAACCTTCTCTTAATCATTTAGATGTTCACTGATAAACTTAAGATAGGCCTGTACACATGCCTTCTCAAGAGAGGGGATGTTGGGATCATCAATCCATTACAGCATATTGTGTTACTAATGAAGTGCTTGGTGACTGGGATACCAACTGCCTTGAGATCAGTTACAACCTTGTCATGTGTAGTTCTCGCCTAAACCACCAACTTTCTCATTTTTATTCTCACCCCATGAGGCAAGATCTTGCATAGAGCTCAGACTGTGGGTGACTGATGGTCACTTTGTTTTCCATTTTTTAATAATCTTAGCAGAAGTTCACCTTCTCACCAAGCTTTTTGCTGATGGTCTTGTAGCCATTCCAGCAGTCCACAGTCTTGTCCCTGACGTCCTTTGACAACTCTTTGGTCTTGCCCACGGTGGTAGATAGGTGGAAATGGAAGAAACTGATTCTGTATATAAGTGTGTTATATCCACATAATGAGAAGAAATCAGGAGCACCTGTAACTGACTGATTGATTGATTGGCTGTGTGCCCATGTGGAACAGGAATTACAATCTATGGGAGCCAGAATTCTGTCTGGGTTGTAGAGAATCAAATACTTACTTCACCCAATGACATGCAAATCAATGTATAACTATTATTTAATGTTTTCTCTCTGGATCATTGGTTCATATTCTGCCCCTCTCCATTAAAATGAAACCATGAAAATTACAAACTGTTCATTTCTTTGTAAGTGAGCAAACGTGCAAATTCAGCAACATTAAATAATCAGTTTCCAAAGGCATAAGGTCAGTAAACTGTTGTCTCTGAAAACAAGTTTCAAGTGATACTATTTCTTGAGCGTAACTTGCAAATACACGTGAAAAGAGATTACCAAAAACTACACTGTTCCTCTTTTAGAGTGTGTGGCTGCATAAACACCATCTATCACTAGTGCATCTTTCCACTAAAGCCAAGTCATTGCTGTATATTGTGCATGATGTGTGATAGTCTGATACATTAAAAAGAGGAAAAACTGCTGAAAACACTTTATGCACTTGACAGATAAAAAAAAAAAACACAAACCAACTTCCCAAAATAGAGTACAAGAACCTAAATATACGGCAGACTCAAGTGATAGTGCACGCCACACAACTGAAGCAGTGTCTATCTAAAAATGCTTCAGCCAAGACAACCAAACATCAAATATAAACATTATCCCAGATATTTATTTTCCAGCCACATCCCTATTTCCAGAGCCTGTGCCTTCCTTCCAGACAGGCTGGTATTTGTTGTGCTGTTGGGGGTGATATATATAGAGGAGACAGACAGAGAGGGATTCCAGTGGGCAGCAATGTGGCTGCGTAAGGAGACGGTGAGGAGAGAAGGCCACTGTGTGTCCCTAACACTGACCCACCCTGCTAATGACAGGGTGCTGTCCGGACCCAGCTAACCCCAAATTACTGCCCTCGCCACCAGCTGTGACCACTACACTCTCAAAAGTGAAACAGCTTAAAGAAACCTCTGGGAGCTTCTTAGATTTAAACAAAAGTGTACCAGCAAAAGGTTGGGTGCAGGATCCTTTTACAAAGTGTTAATGAACCTATCAGTACGTGCTCATGTACATAATATGTGCCTTTTTATTAGAAACGGGTACCTGACTAAAATGGCACTTCTACTTTTATGCGGCTCTTTGGGATCGTGGAATCAGCACAGTGAACGTCACATTTTTAGAGTGTGCTCTGAGCAGGAGCGCCACATGGGCCACACATCGACACATGAGATATCACGAAAACTAAACATAACAATGAAATAAATGCTAAAACTAGAAGGTGTTCTCAACAGTTAAAGTACACAGCAGATTTCAGCACTGACATAAAACAACAACGCAAAGATATTTTGCGCAAAAACTAAAGACATTTAAGAAGACAAAGGAAGAAGACACTCACCTGTCGGTTCCTCTCATCAACGATACGGGTGATTTGAATCTTCTTCCTTCCCATTGCTAAAGCAACGTCCACCAACAACCAAAGATGAATATCAGAGGGCTCCAAGTATATAAAAATTTAAAAGACAATCCTCAACACATAGTCCCCCTGTCAGCTCCTGTTAGTCCATCAGCTTAGCATGGCTTTCTGAAAGAGAGCAACAATCAGCGTTAACTTAATCATTGTTTATTTACTGTGTACGAGCAGTCACAGAAACAGTTCTATTCAGCAAAGATATTCAAATACTTGGACAAATCATAGAGTGCAAAGGGTCACACACTGCTTACACTGAAAATGCCAGTTATGCAAGGAAAGAAGGAACAGAAAGAAGAATGAATAATAAACATACATTAGTCAGGGACACAAAATCCATTTCTACCATTTTGAAATTTTCCTCTGCAGTTTGGCATTTCACATTTTGCTGTCACTGTTGATTGCAGTTTTGTAGAAAGAAGGAGGACATCTTTTCAAAACACCATAAAGAGAGCCATTAAGAGGACACGAAGCGAGACTGACTAAACACGTGCTGGTCCAACAACAAGGATATGATCCCTCACCAGCTTCTCAACTACTACTGCTGGAACACACAATTGAGCCAAAGACTGAACTTTCTGTTTGTTCTACAGAGCGTTCCTTTCACTCTGGAGCTGAATCTATAATTATAAAGAGACACATGAGCACAGACACTGTAATACATAGAGAATAAGCGTCATACTGTATGTACCATACTTCATCACACGCCTCTGTATACTGTAGCTTGCACCAACCTCTTCTTTATCTGCACCAACCAGGCCAGCTGTCTTTAGTGGATTCACCTCTGCTTTCTGGCTTTCTCCTCTTGCAGGAGTGACCACCTGCCTTGATGTGTCCCTCCTTTCTTCAACCTCAGTGTTTCTGAGCCCTGCCTTCCCGCAGAGCTCCTTAGCTCTTACCTAATCTCATCTGATCTGGGAGGAGGCAGAGAGTGAGACGAAGCCAGGCTTTATCCTAACCCTCCCTGGATTATTGCAGCATGTGGAGCCCAGCGCTGAGCCACCAAAACCCCCACAGCAGACCCAGTTCACAGGGTTGAGAGATAGAACAAATGCATTTGTCTTTCACCAGAGAAAATGTATTGGTTATTTTTATAGATTTAAATGTAGTGCACATATCTTAAATGGTAATATAGTTAAATACCACTAAAAAAAAAACCCACACACACTTAAATTTTCCAAAATACCATTTTAATTCCAAATGTATCTTAGCCCACTTTGTTCTTGTTCCATTTAAATGATTATTTGAAACCCTACATTTTCTGTTTTTGTTTTAGCATTTAAAGCAAAGTTATATTTAAACACAATTAATTTGCAAGAAAAGGCACGCTATCACTCTAATGCTTCCTGTTCACCATCGCCGAGATTCCAACTGACCCTTCAGAAGTCACGACAGAATATAAACTGTAACAGACAAAGACTCCTTGTATGTTTGGGATTTAAAGGTCACACGGATTTATCGGTTTTACAATCTGGATGATTTGATGGGAAGACACAAATATTTTAAAAAGAGAGAAAGAAAATCCTTTCCATGATACTCATCCCTGCAAACATCATCATCATGCAGATATTTATTTCAGCCTGTGCTTTTGAGTGTTGAATATTTGCAGTGTTCTAAGTTTCAATCAGATAAACCCTGGTATTGCTCTGGTATTATTAGGATAACAGACTGGACTTTGTACTATCTTAGTCACAGCATTCTGTCATTAAAACATGATGATCTGCTTAAATCTGCTAAATTTTAACACTTCAGGTCACATTAAGTAAAGTCATAACCATAACTAGCCTCTTAGCCGGCCTAACTGGTAATCTGAATAAATGGGACTGCCCCGTTAGTTGCTGGTGCCAGAAATTACTTTAGTTTGGTGTAAAATGATTTTGGAAGATCTTAACTGTTAAGACGGGAAATGTTTATTCTTCCAATTTGGAAGCCTGTTGAATTAGAAACAGTTGAATGTGTTCATTGTTTGCTATTATATATTTATATCAGTATAAATGTGTTCAGTATAAATGCATCTTATGTAATAACATTGAAAACTTATCTGAGATGGTGCTTTTTCATTTTGTAGCAGATTTAAAGTTTGACATTATTGCAAAAATCTTTCATGAATCTGCTGCTTCACTGGTCATTAATGACCTCTAATCATCTATCCATTTTCATAACAGGCTGGAGTCTGTCCCAGCTGTCACAGGGCAAGAGGCAGAGTATGCTCTGGATAGACCACCAGTCTACCATAGAGACAGACAGACAACTATTCATGCTCGCATCCACACCCACGACCAGTTTATAATCACCAATTAACCCAACACGTCTTTGGACTGTGGGAGGGAGCTGGATAACAAGGAAACTTTCGTGTTGTGACAGTGCCGCTGCACCACCATGCTGCCTATGATATGAAAAATATGGTGGCTAAAATCAGTACAATAATTACTTTGAACCAAGCTGCCAACTTGCCAAATTAATAGAAGTGTTGTTGTGGAAGCAATTTGCATCCATATATAACTCAGATTATGTAAGATTTACATTAGAAACCACTAACTAATTCAACACTTTGTACTGAAATTGAGCACTCAAAGTGCTTCTATGCTACAAGGTGCATTTATCCTTCCTATTTCAAGTAAACTCTGATTGATGCATCGGAGGCAGCAGGATTCAGCTTCTTGTCTAAGGAAACTTTGACATGTGGACTGGAGAAGCCAGGAATTGAACCACTGACCCTCCTAGGGACAGCTTGCTGTTTCTCTTACCACAAAATGCATTCTGTGGGAATATTTCCTATCACTTTATTTGCTTCAAAAAGAAAATGTGGAAAAATGTACCAAAAAAAGACAAATGTTAGGTCTGTTTGTCTTTTTTGAATTGCACTAACGCTAACCTTTTTAATGGGATATTTTTATAATTAAAGACAAATTAAAGTTTGTTTTTAAGACCCCCTTTACTTATTACACACTAGTGTTAGATTCTGGACTGGATAGTGGACCAGTGCTCTTTTCTAATATATTTAGCAACTCACACATTAAGTGCTTAATAGTAGGAGGACACAGCACAGGACTCTGGGTTCACCGTCTCTTGTGTTTTGTCATCTTTTGGCTACAAAAATACTTTGAAGGAGATCAGGGGAAGATTGTGGTTTCCCTGAAATATTAATACATGCAACATATCGAGTACTTTATCATTAGTTAGCTAACGCTTTGACTTTTTCCCCAAAAAAGGTCCGTCAAGGGCCTAAATATAGTCATAGAAAGGTGAATAATTTGTAGCTGCCATGTGCTAGTATTGTAAGCTAGAAAATCGATGTCAGTGAATAATTTGCAAATAGGTAAATGATGGTAAATATTAAAGATGTGGTTAAGATTTGTTGTTCATGCTGGCAGTTAGGGCTGCCACGACTAGTTGAAGATTACGTCAACTATTAAAATCGTCGACGACTAATTTAATAGTCGACACGTCGTTTGAAGCTTTGTAAGATCCCAAAAGACGCAGGAATAAGTAGTAGGATTTAAGAGTGTAATAACGGACTGAAACAGAAGATGGCAGCACTGCATGTACAAGGATGCCAGCTGCCGTTAAACCCCGAAGAAGAAGAAGCTGTGTCCCAGAATTCATAGCGCGGCCCAGCTCAGTTTCCAACAATGGCGGCAGCTAGTTAGTTTTAATATTACTCTTATTATTCTTTCTGGGTCACAAAATAAACGTTTAACATATTTTCAGGCGAGAATGTAGCTGTGTAAACCTCAAATATCTGCTCAGTTTATCAAGACACCACATATTTTCAAAAGCGCTCCGACGTTTTCGGAGACGTCTGTTACCCACTAGCTCGATAGCTAGCCGGGGGCAAGGCTCACTAGAGCCGTGAGAACACCGGACTCCCGGCAAATCGTTTTCAAACCCACCGCCGTCTTTCGCTACTCAGGTTAAACATATATAAGTCACTTAGATAACTTAAAAATGTTATTGTTTGGCTTTTTTAGTATTTTATTTGTTCCTGAGTAAATCGGTTTGGCTGAGATTAAAGTTATAGTTTTTACACAGCTGAATAAACGTCAAGCAGACAGCTGATTATCAGAAGTGTGAGATGCTGGAGAATATACTCCGGTGTCCTGTTATATTTGTAGACTTGTAGTCAAGACCGCCTAATCCGAGACCAAGACAAGACCAAGACCAGAGGGTATCGAGACCAAGACAAGACCAAGACCAAGACCAAGTTGAGACGAGACCAAGACCGAGACCGAGTGAGACGAGACCAAGACCAAGACCGAGACAAAAAAAGTCTTTAAACTGCAGCCAGATGCTATTCTATATACATATTCAGGACACCTTAAACTAGTTTTTTAATTAAGCAGCAAGGCAGAACAAAGTCGGGCCTGTATCAAGACACAGGGACTAAACCCCAATTCAACCAGACCCAAAACTGATCTGGAATTAAAACAGGACTACAACAGTAACCAAGACAGAACCAGAATCAGAACTAGATGATAGTAGCACTAAAAATCATCATAGACCTGCACTACACTTATTTTTTAATTCTACCAAAGTACAATATTTAGATTGAGAAAAGTTTATATAATTATTTAGCCTCGTTGTGCAAACAAGCCTGCATAACTTAATAAATATAGAATTTGAAAAGTAACAAATGGTATCTAAAAAGAAACACTAGGTACTAGATACATGTTCTGATGAGTTTTGGCAAACAACCATTTGACTAACATGTGTGTCTCACCTGCTCTTGTTCCATCTCTGTTCTGTCGTCATTCTCTCTCTCCCTCTCTGCTCCTCTCTCTCCCTCTTTGTGCTGACAATCAAGCCAAACACCAACATCATCAAATATACAGTTGAAACCAGATATTTATGTACTCTTCAGATAAAAACACAAACACTTTTTTAATTGTAACATCAAATCACATGGACTCTACTAACCTATCAGAAGCTTCTTTAGCTCAGAATGGAATCGTCTGGAGTTTTCTTATTAATTAACAATAAACTTAGTGTATATGTACTCCTAAATTTGATGAAAGTGATTAAAATAGACAGCTCCCTCTTTTTATTCTGACATTTAACTAATTCAAAAGATATTTCAACATTTATTTATCTAAAACAAAAGTTTACTCTAAATTGATGTTTAACAGTAAAAAAAAGTTTTTATGTTTTCTCCATAAAGTGTATGTAAATATCTGGTTTCAACTGTGAATATACTGCTGTGTATTGAAATTCCTCTTGTTTTGCATAGATATACTGAACAACATCCAAAGCATAATATATAAAATAACATCTACCTGAGTTTTTTCTTTGAAAGAAGCTCCTTATGTCCATTGTTGTGTTCATCAGTACACAACTGAAACCGATTTAGAGAGTTTGTTTAGCCGTGGAGGGTAACAACTGAAAATATGAAATGTAAGCTAAGACTAAAAAATCAGCATTGCTGTTCGGCTTTTTATTTATCCATTTGTTGATTCACTCGAAGAGCAAGTAACGCAACCAAGTGATCAGTTTGATATCAATCTTTTGTGATACACCGTCATATTTACATTATTAGTTCAGTACGAATGATTTGCTTTGGTACCTGGTCAAACTTAAGCTCTCCTCTGTCTGCAGCAAATTCGCAGGCAGCAGCTTCTCCCCCCTCGCTCACATGGGTGCTGCGCTCAGTCGCCTAGTGCCTGAGCTCGGATCATACCAAAATTAGGGGGAATTTACGACGGTGCGCTCTGTGCTTCGTGTGTTGTTTTTGGGCTTAAGCCCAGTAAGCCACCCCCCCCCCCCACTCCGCTGATGGTTGACTCCAAATCTCCCGAACACTATGTCGATTTGAGAACGCAAGACCGAAACAGCGAGACCAAGACCGAGACCAAGACAAAAGTCCGTCGAGACCAAGACAAGACCAAGACAAAAGTCCGTCGAGACCAAGACCGAGACCAAGACAAAAGTCCGTCGAGACCAAGACGAGACCAAGACCACGTAAAAGTGGTCTCGAGAAGACCGGTCTCGAGAATCAACTCTATATTTTAGATAGCAAGGAGCAGACGGAGTTTATTAAACTCCACCGAAACAATCTGCAAATTTCATTAAAATTTAATAAACTATCATCTTGTCTTTATTTTTAGTTAGCACATACCTTAAACACTTAAAGCTGTAAGCTAATGATAGCTATATAAGAGCAGATGCATGCTGGTGCAATAAGCTGTACGTTTACATCCAATGGATGCATGCTCTGATTAGTCGACTAATTGCAAAAATAATCGTTTGTGGCAGCCCTACTGGCAGTAAAGGTCTAGTCTCCATGTTTTTCTCTGAGTGCTTTATTGCTGACATTTTAAAAAGAATGAAAGATGATGCAACCTTGGATCCAGAAACAATGGAATACTACTGAAACACAAAATTGCCAAATGCTTATGGACACTTTTTCCTCTCTGTAGTAGCAACGATTGCTTTGTTTCAGGCTGCCCATGCTTCAGTGGAGTCTGTTTTACACCGTTCATTCACATGTTTCCCAGACAAGCTGTCCTGATCAATGTTACTATGGCAGAAACTGTCTGGCTGATATGAAAATTAATACAAACAGAGATGACCCAACAGACAACCAGCACTCACAAACACACAAATCATCCATGTACTGTAATATTATTACACCCAAACAAAAAGTCCCATCTATTCTAAAACATTGAGTAACCAGATCACTTTAACAGTTTGCTTTTTTCCATTCTGAGAATTCAAACTAAACAAGAACATCAGCATCTACTATTTGTGCTCCTAATATCTGCAACATACTACCACAAAACCTGACGTCTGCTCCAAATCTTAGTTCTTTTAATTTTAAATACATTTTTAAATTTGTTTTAAGTTAGATGTTAAAACTGTTTTATTCGCTACTGCTTTTAATTAAGATGGAGAGATGTTCTTTTTCCTTTTGAATATACGTTCTTGGGTATGTACACTGGTGAATGTGATGATGGCTATTGTGGGGATGGTGGTGACGATGGTGGTGGTGATGATGGCAATGATGATGTATGTCTGTGTCATAGGTAACTCACTGTATGCATCCTGTTGACAGTTTCTCGTTATTTTATTTTGTTTTATTTTATATTTGTAATTTCCTTTGCTTTTTTATGTAATGCTCTTGATGTTTGTGTAAAGCACTGAGCACTGCCATGTCTCTATAAATAAACCTGTCTTCCCTTGCCTAAAATAAAATTACAGTAATTTAGGATGTGTTTCATACACTGGTAACAAATGTGATATTGCTGTGGAATTTCTCCTTTTGTGGTGAAGTAACACACAAATATCAGATCATAATAAAGTGTTAATTATACGGATAAACACCAACATAAAAAATGGGGAAACATCAATTAAAAAAATACATTTGATTTCATCATTTAAACTTGCTCTGACCCTTTCAGCACCTCTCTAACGTTAGAAGATGCTCTCCTCTTGATACATCCTTAAACAGGGAGCGCTAAACCCTAGAGCAGGGCTGCCCAATCCCAATCCTCGAGAGCTACTATCCTGCAGCTTTTAGATGCATCCCTACTCCAACACAGCTGAATCAAATGGTTTGATTACCTCTTCAGCATGCCATCATGTTTGGCAAAGGCCTGATAACAAACCATTCATTTGATTCGGGTGTGTGGGAACAAGGATGCATCTAAAAGCTGCAGGACGGTAGCTCTCGAGGACCGGGATTGGGCACCCCTGCCCTAGAGCGAACCTCACAGTCAAAAACCCCCCGCCTTATCTCGCCCATGAAATCCAATTCCTGTGGATATTCGGAAGAGTGACAATGCTTTGTCAGGGTGTGAAACACACTTTTCCAAGGTTGGATTGCGCTGGATTTTAATTTATCTCGTATGTCTCTTCAATAGCAGAATCTCACTTCTTGTTGATTTGGTAAATAAGAGTCAAAGAGCTTCCACCTAACATTGTTTTACAGATAAAGTATGGTGAGTGCCACACAAGAGTACATATGAATGGGGAGTACACACATTGGAACCTCTTTGCAAAAAAAATAGCTGACAGCCAAATACATTTGCTAAAACTTCACATAGTTCTAAGTTGTTAGACAAAGTGACAAAATCTTTGAATAATCACATGGACGTAAAGCAGAAGTAAAGAATATTGAGCTCAGCCAAAGACAAAACTGTGGTCTGTAAAATAAAAAAGGAACGCCAAAGAAAGTTTTACCTTTAATAATTATTCTCTGTGCTTTTGTTTGTCAGTTTAAATTTGAATCAAGTTTAAAAAAAAAATGCAAGTTGTTATTTTTATGATTCAAACAAATGATGTTGCTTAGTGAATGTTAGTGTGGGCGAATGTAGCTGTAGCAGTACTTATTTTTGGAGTTGTTAATAACCAGCACCAAGCTAGTGCTGGGTGACTGAACACTATGGTGCATGAATATATGGGCTGCTTAGGTTTGGCAGAGCCCAGCAGAAGAGCACATCTCTGACTGTTTTTTATTTATTTATGGCT